GCGCTGGTGGCGGGGCTGGCGAGCAGCGCGTACCCGCTGCTGCCGCTGTTCCCCGCGGGACGCGCCGCGCCCGGGTCGCAGCCCGCGTGGCTCGGGTCCGTTCTCTCCGCCCTGCTGCTGCGCGCGACAGAGCTGGGGCTTGGGCCCGACGGCCCGGCGCCGGACGAGGACGGGGCCGACGGCGGCGGCGCGCCGGCGCCGGCGGCGGACGGCGCGGCGGCCGATGAGTGGCGGGCCGCGTACGCGGAGATTGAGGCGGCGGTGTCGCGCCACCTGGCGGCCCTCCAACAGGCCAAGGCCGCCGCCGGCGCCGAAAGCAACGGCGGCGGCGCAGGCGGCGCCGCGGCCGCGGCCGCCGCGTCGGGCATGCCCGCGGCGACGCTGGAGGCGCTGCGGGCGCACGCCGCGGAGCTGGCGGCGGTCCCGCTGGTGCGGGGCATGGTGTCGGATCACGCGCGCGGGGAGGGGCGCGAGCGGCTGCGGCTGCTGCTGCTGGAGGTCGCGCGGTGAGCGTGGCAGGTGGCGGCACGCATCCGCAACCTGGTTTTGAGGTGCCGCCTTGTCCCAGATCCTGCGGCCTAGCAAGTGCGCTGCAGCGCGAAGCGCTCTCGCCTCGCCCCCGTGTGCGTGCACGTGAGGCACGCGGCGGCCTGTGGCAAGGCCCACGCCGGGCCTGCAAACGCGTCGCCGCCGCAGATTGCGCTCCCAGCGCACTGCAACGCCTCGCGGGGCCCCGCGCCGCGGGAGCGGGGAGCGCATGCGCCACCAGTCGTGCCAGGTGTCACGCAAGTCACTCTGCATGCAGCGGAGCTCCCCGCTTTCCTTGCCACTGGCTGGTCCCATGTATCTCTGTCCCTTGGTGCCAATCGATTGGGATCCGCTTGACCTTTCATTAGAAGCAACAGCACGCGCCACGACTGGCACCTTCTCGCGTGCGCCGCCGCGCAACCTAGACGCGCGCGCAGAGCCCCGCCCTCTTTTTGAACCGGGCGCCGGGTCCAATCAGATGGCGCGGTCGCCGCCGGCCCATACAAAAACGCCGCGGCGGCCGCAGCGTCCTTCGAGTTTTTCGTGCCTTTGCCGAAGTGCCCCCACTACCAACCCCACCCCACCACTGCTCTTTGCTGTGCCGCTGGGCTGGGCCCAGCCCGTGGTGATGGTGGTTGCAGCCCTTGGCTTGCCTGTCCGTCAAGCCACACTTAAGTCCCCTTGGCTTGTCCCCACCCCCCATTGCCACGTCCTGCCCGAGACGCTGGGTGGGGTGCCAGGTCAGGCCCTGGGGCTGCTTGTAACCTCGGACGCCGCCCACGCAGCCGCCGACCGGCGATTACACATAGGGACGGCCTGTAGCTGCGACCTCGCTCTTAGTCATCAGTAGTGGGGCTGCCCCGTCAAAGTGGCACCTCCACTCCTGAAGCCCCTGCAACTCGGTGCCCGCAGGGGCGCGCACGCACAACACTCGCTCACGCTGCCAGCATGGGGCCGCTGCTCAGCCTAGTCACTCCAAGGAGCCACATGAAAAAAGACGCACCGAATATCAAGCAGGTGCCAAGCATATGTAAGGCTTTTCAGGGCGGGGCCGTGCGGGCGCGAGCTGGCAGAGGGATGCTCCCTGCAGCGCCGGCACGGGGCCATAGCGTGCACAGCACAGCCTCACTTGCGCGGCGCTGCAGGGCGGGGTCCGTCCCAGACCTGGCACCCCCTTGCCCACAAACCGCGTTCCAAACCAGTGCGCCGTCAGTGGTCGCAGCAGCAGGTGCAGCGAGAGCGGGTTCAGTGAAGGAAGGCAGCCATTAGCCGCTGCGGTTCGAGGGGCAACACTATCAACTGTGTAAAGCCGGTCGCGCGCAGGCGTGAGGCCCGGCGGCGCGTGCGGCAGCAAATCAACAATGGCACAGACGAGGCAAATTGGAGGCGACGGGGGCAGTAGCGGGACGGACGGGAGCAGGCCATATCAGATCAGATCAGATTGAATCAGGGCTGGTGGCTCTGAACACCAAGAGGCGCCGCGGGCGCCGCTTCGACGCCACAGGCCCGCAGCACAGGAAGAGAAAGCCACGGCTCGCGGCTCAGCCCCAAGCAAAGCTGCTGGCGCTCAGGCTCACGCGCACGCCCTTCAGGGCGCCGCCGTCGGCGGCGCCGCCGCCGCCATTGGACTGCACCACGCGCGCGCGGGGAAGCAGCCCCTTGCTGGACGCCGGCGACGCCCGCGGCCGCAGCACGTCGGGGCGCACCCCGCCGGCCGCAGCCGGCGGCGCGTCCAGCGGCGACGGCGGCGCGCGC